CAATTAGTCCTAGCATCGTAAGTACTGTCCGTAAACTAATCCCACATATATACATATATGGGGCGTTCCATTTCAATCGAAACAGAGCTATATCCGAAAATTGGCCCAATACACAAAAAAAAAAAAAATACGTTCAAGGGCTGCAATTCATCAAACTCACGAACCGACAAATAATATCATTAATAAAATTTACAAAACCTAAAAAATTAGGGATGCTTTTCTAAGCATTTTTAGGGGGGGCTGAATATAAATCTGGTGTCGGGTTTTTAAAATTCAAAATAGCGGATCCAAAATGGAGGACTTTATGACTTTTTTTAGTGGAAAATTGTTGATCTGAACTTGATACTCTGGGGGTTGACAGGGTTGCTAAACTCAAGTCTGGTGTCAAATTTTAAAATTTCAAAATGGCTGATCCAAGATGGAGGGCGATTTTTAGTTAATTCAACATTTTTGCTCGAATCTTGAGATTCGGGCTTGCTGAACTCAAATCTGGTGTCACATTTTCAAAATTCTTAATCGTGGATCCATATTAGATCTACCATTTATAACGGAATAGTTAAAATCGAACGTACGTACATGGCGTATGAGTTACTCAGATAAGATGGGAATGTACGCACGCTCGATTTTAACTTTTACGTTATAAATGGTAGATCCAATATGGATCACTATCATTTAGATCTTTACGAAAGTTCCTTAAACTTTAGATAATAAAATTTTCCGCCTCTTACCAGGTTCCCCATCTCGTTAATATTGGCTGTGGCGGAAAAGCTTCAACGCACAAAGCAGATTTTAAAAATATCTTTTCCCATTCGATATTAAGGGCCGTTTTCTCATGTAAGCTGTAATTTTAAAGTTCACTTTATATTTAAAGGTTGCTTTAAAATTTTTGATTGTGTCTAAAGGAAAGCATTTTATTTTCGGGTTTCAATTGGTTTACACCCAAGAAACATACATACGTCAAAAGAAATGCTTAACTGTGGCTATTGCTTTAATTTTTATCCAACTTTAAATTATAAAGTGAGCTCTAAAGATAAAGGTAACTTCAGAAAACGGCCCCAAATCGTCAACATCACTGAAGCGAGCTCTTATATCTTCGGCCACTCGGCGTGCCAAACAAGTAAGGTGCAGTAACTTTGGGTAAAATACCTTCAGCGCCTTTGCTAATTATACCGAGTCCTAACCGCGTTTATTAAAAAAACGTTATTTTCGTACTTGATGCACTTATCTATTGATAGCCTTTTCCATCCGATTTTAAAAATCGAACAAGTTTTGAAAAGAGGATTTATAGACCTTTAAAACGATCTATTACAGGTCAATTCTGCGCTGGTAGTTAAAAGTTTGTAACCGGTAAATAAAGTTCTTGTCAATTTTTAAACCCTTTTAGCATTCTGTGTACTCTTGTAACCGGTAAATTATTTTTACCATCTCATAAACCGGTAACAAATTATTGCCACGTGAAATATTCAATGCCAGGATTTGCACAATTCTTCATAGCTGAATTGCTGAATATTTTAACTGCATTACCAACGTACCTAGAATCGCGGTGACAAGAACTGGTAACATTTTTTGGTAATACAATTTTCCGGCTACAAAATATTCGGTAACGTGCAGAATAGACCTGTAAATGGAAAAAAGTGCAAAACGACGCCAACAAACCTTTTTAAAAATTAATGCGATTTTTTAGCCGCTCAAAAGTTGCACTTATTTTACTAGAATTTTATAAGCTTTCTCAAGCTGCATGCCCAAAAAATTTCTAGAAATTCTGGTTAAAAAGCTCGAAATTTAGATAAAACTTTGTGGAATTTTTCTAAGTTGTGCACAATATTTGAGAGTGTGATTTATGTATATAGTTTTTGTTAAAGCATGAACAATATTTTTATGAAAAACATATCAAAAAAGTTTTAGCTTGAAATATATTGTACATATTAAAAACGGAACACCATTCATCTATTTTTGACCGCCACTGTATGTACTAAAATAATCATCTTTACTGAATTGTTACAAAACCTACATATCGATGGCTGAGTGGAAGATCAAAAGTTTTCTGAGGTAGGGCGCTTTCGAACTGGCTGCCGGGATAGATCGATCTTCCATTCAGCAAACGAGATTGTATATGTATGATCTCAAGTGAATTGCTCATAAGAAAGCTAATATCTATATGTTATCTTTGAATGCTATTCAAAATAAAATACTACAATTTTATTTGATAAAAAATTAGTAGTGTTTTATTTCTCGGATTCACTATTTTAAGTTGTAAACTAAAATGAACGAGAATTAACTAAATGAACTAGATCACTTGAGTGCTTTGAACTAGGTTGATCGTTGATCGATCATCGAAATGAACTAAAAGTCTCAACTCTAGTATTTATAGTCTGATTTTGTTCATATTTTAAATACGCAGGGTGTCCTAGACCACCCGTCCGCGTACTCTAAAATGCAGAGAAATATTTTTTATTGAATAACGCAAAAACATGACCTATCAAGTCTGGGATGCTTTCCGTTTTGGTGGTACTACCGATTTCCGGTTTCGACCGGAAGTGAGTTAAACTAATCCGAAGTACATTTTTTTTAAATAAGATATACAGTGAAAGTTCCCATAGACGGACGCTCTAATAAGCGGGCATCTCCTTTAAGCGGACATATTCCTTGGAACGAACAATTTTTGGTTTTTTTTCCATACAAAATGCATTCCCAAATACGGATTTTCCGATAAACGAACGCGGACACTCAAACATGTCTAGTTATGAAAAAAATCTCCCATAAGCGGACGCGAAGCTGTAATAAGCGGTTAATTTTTTTCAGTCTGATGTTGACTCTTGCGCATGTAGATATGTAAATATACACAAGTACACACGTCCATATTCAAAGATGTTTTCTTTTCTAAAAAAAAAATTTAGTTTTCATTGCCCCCTTCTAACTGCTACAGCGAAGCGTGAAATGAGATTTGTCGGCAGAAAGGAAAACGCCATAAATTTGAATTTATTTTCCATTCTTTCTGTTTTTATCAGTTAAAGGATAAATATTATTTTCATTTAGGAACCCGCAATTTAAATTTTTTAAATTTTAATTTTAATATTATTTTTTGAGAAATTCTCATAAGGGGACATCTCCCATACGCGGATAAAAAGTAGGTGACCATCGGTGTCCGCTTATGGGAGCTTTCACTGTACATGTTTTTACTACAGATTCGGATTGTGAAGATAAAAATACGAACTTCAACTCGTCTTGGAGTTCTTAAATGAGCGAAAAAGTGTTTATTGGAAATCGAAAAAATATGAAATTTGCTCTATTTTTTGCGAATCCGACAAAGTATGTTCGAATTTTTTTTTTTGTATGGAAGAAAATAATTTTCAAAAATCCACGCGAGTTCTCAGGTACTTTGAAGCTTGCACTTTATGTAGCTACAACTTAATGGGCTATGAAACTGCATACTTAGAACTTTTGTAAAAGTTTTTAATGAGAAATGTTTTTTTGTAAAATTGTTTGCTATTTTTCTACAAAGTTTGAAATTGGGTCTTAAATATATGGTTTTTGTTAGAAAAAAAAACAACAAATAAAAGGAAAATAGGTAAAACTGGCCAAAGTGGCGTGTCCCTATTATCTTTTATATGACTGCAGGAATGCGTTAAAATGATGAGTTAATATTTTATTAAAATGTAGCTTTTTTCAAAGCTTTCTAAGCCCACGATTTTCTAGCAAACAGTTTACAATTTATTGGGTGCATTTATGTCCTTCTGCGAAGCTTGAGTCATCTCGAAGGTCATCATTTTGCTTATTTTCTGTGTGCTTTTATTTAATTTACTGTACTTTTATGCAATAGTTAATGAAATTTCCACCTTGGCAACCCTCTCTAAATTCACTGTTCACCACAGTCAAATTCAATTTGCGCCCACTTGCGCTTCATACAATTTTAATTGCATTTTTTCCAAGTGATACTTACGTACGCACTCACGCATGCATGCAAAACCCAAATATGTAAATTAGTACGTCGTATGCTTTAGTGTGCTTGGCCCATTTAAAATTTCGCACTTTACACTTTTCCACTCGGACGACGACTGCAGTTTAGCCAGCAGAGTGAAGAAGAGTAAGAATCCAACTAACTGCGCCATACAAGCGACCAATATCGACTGAGAATGAATTGCGAATTGCGAAATAAACCGCAACCGGTGGTGCTGCTGCTGCTGCTGTGGCTGTTGCTGTTGCTATTCCAGCCGATGGTGGCTGGTGAAGGTTGTTAGATATCTATGTATGCATGTGGTTTTCGGTTGAAAGTGCTCGGCTAACGTTGAAGAACGGGCGGCTGAGACTGGCAGACTTGGCGCAGTGAGTGCAGCGGTTGCACCGAGTTGTGTCTAATGCACACAAAGACACTTGCTGACAAACGTGTATGTTGTTGTTATTTCTGCAGTTGCATGTAGCAACAAATTGAAGCAAACTTTTGCTTGTATGAATGAAATTTGCGTTTTTGTTTATTTTAGTGCTGTTCGTGCTTACGGCAGTTATTCGACTTCTATGCTACACACGGCTGTACTTGACTCACGAAATGCTGCGAACGAACTAAAAGCTGGGCAAGGACGACATACGATTTAAAAACTCATGAATAGCTTGCAAAGGACGCACAACTGCTATGATTAAGCAGGAAGCGAAGAAGGCTTTCAGCCGATGTTTTTGTAGCGAAAACTGCGACGTAATTGTGGATAGTGTCAGTCAGCAGTGAGGAGAGAGGTTATATTAGTGAGAACACCAAGCATTAAGTGAGGGAACTAAGTAAGAGAGAGAGAGAGAGAGAGCATGTACGTTTATCAGAGCAAATGCACTTTGAAGTGTGTGGCTGAGTAAGAACTGAAGTAAAGGATGTCAAACCGCATGGGGAATGTGGCTATAAAATATTGCAGTTAAAGTTAAAGTATATTTCAAGGAAAAATGCATATAAATGCAATAGTTGTTTTTAATGTACACATAAATGTTTTAAAACAACCAGGGTCACAGGACGTATGAGTAACAAATAATTAATGTGCAGCCGCATACGCCCTGGGCCACATATGCTTGACAAAAAATAAATAAAAAATGCAAATGCAATGCAAGTGAGCCTGGAGCGGCGCGGCGTGGATGCAAAAAGTGCAATGCAGTGGGCGAACTTGAATGAGAAATTAATAGCAAGCTGGGTGTGCGTGGGCGTAATAACAAATGCAAAGGCATAGCCATACATGCGAGCGAGTCCTGTATGTTCCTGTGAACGAGGCGTCCTTTGCCAAGCAAGTATTTTTTTTTTTTTTAACTTTTTCCAAGTTTTTTTTTTTACAATGTTTCAGTTACACTTAACTTTTTATAGGTGTGCTACGCTGCTGCGCATACGATGGAAAGAAACACAAAACAACAGCAACAAAAACGCCGGCAAATATTTCGCATTCGAAATAATTACCGCAATCATAAAACCACAGCAATTTGCATATGTATGTATGTATATTGCAAAAGGTAATAAAAAATAGTTAGTAAGAAGAATGGAAATGAAATAAAATTGCATTGTATGAAAAATGGAAAAATTCAATTCAACAAAAATTTGCGCACTCGTCTTTCCTGTCTATGGTGGGCGGTGATGTAATACCCAATTGTTGGCGCTTCGGCTTGTGGCAAAGAAAGTTTTTCTATGACTACAAAAATGTACATATATATAGCGTTGAGGTATTGAGCGATTACTTCAAATTCTATAGAGATTACTTTTTAAGTTTTTTTTTGCCACGTCACGCGTTGTTTGTTGGAAAATATTCAATTGATTGTGTAGAAAAGTGTTGAAGCAGCAAGTGTTGCGGTGACGCGTCGTCGAACCATAGCTCTTCGTACGAATGAGTGAATAATTTCAAATTGTATAGTTTATTGTACCAAACACTTTACTCTTTCATTGTTTTTGCACGCTTTCACGAGTGCAGCGAATGATGTAAGCTAACCAAAGGAATCAAAAATAATGATTGGTGCTAAGGTAAAAGGACAAAGTGTTAAAGAAGGTGCATGTAAATTAGTTGTGTACACCATTTTAGCGTAATTTCATTATTTAAATGCGGCTCGCTGTGATGAAATGGATTTGTGACTAACATGGCGTCAAGTACATACATATGTATTTCATAAGGTATTTCATAAGAATTATGCATTAAATCTTAAATACTTACATATGTATGTACTCACAAAGACAGCAATATAGGAAGACTACTAAATATGAGAGTCACCTGCAGAAGAGCAGGTTATCTTTTTAACTCAGGGTTGCTTGGGGGTAGGCTTTAGCTCAGCGTTAAAACTGTAAGCAGCAGCACAGCAATTTTTCTGGGTCAACTTGATAGCTTGATGCGTCCAGAGAGGGTTCGACCATAAAAAGGAAGCGTTATATTTTTGATAGCTCACCTCAACAAGGCATTAGAATGCTATAAGAGTTGGTCTTCTGTATTTTTTTTTTTTTTTTGTTCTACAAACGTTCGTCGGTTTGGGCTGAGACCAACAAACCTCGTCAATTGTTTCTGTGCGTAGCGGGGTTGCGTCAGTTGTATACCTAGAGTGCAGACAGGTCCTTCCATTGCGTTCGTAGCCGCCCTTTCTTTCGTTTCCACTCGGCTACCGCGGACGAAAAACTCGATTGCTTTGTTTGCTTACTGTTTAGTACAATAGAAAATAGCTGATCTTTTTTACCAGTGTTGTCATCGCAAGTGCCTCCTGTTCCGCATTCATTTTGGAATTAATTGTAAATCTGGATCAACTGCCGTCTGTCTATGCTTAAAGGGAGTTGAAGTTACATTCTCCTCCAATAGAGAAGAGACACCTACTATTCCCAAAAGGCGGAATTTTCTCCCCACTACTTTGGGCTGTTGTCGTCAACGAATTGCTGGAGACTTTGGAAAAATGCAGCTATCGGGTGGGCCCGTACGCTGACGACTTAGCACTGAAAGTTAGAGGTACATAAGTCCTTAAGCACTCTGGAAACTATTAAAACGGAACTTGTTATTTTCTTTTCACTCGGAGAAATAAAATTCCAATTTGTCAACCTCGCTCAATGGTCGGCTTCCTCTAACATTCTCTAATAGGGTGAAGTAATTGGGCTTGATTCTTGACGGAGAGCTTCCTCAGCAGTGTCGGTAGACTTATATTGCTGCAGAGGAAATACGGGCAAGCGCTGCGGCCTTCATATCGCGAGTTCGCCGTCGGCGGTCAAGCCCACTCTTTATCACTGAAAAAGGTCACATCTCTCTTGCGTTACTGGTGGCAGTTATTACCTGGCATTGTCCCATCGATCAACAACTGCTTTCGCTAGCTTAAAGATTAAACATCTTGGGTCCCACTTCCTTCTCATTCCCGAGGAGCTTTCGGGGATAGCAATAAGCCGCTTTCGGAGTCAAGAGAGATTGGGTGTTCGATTATTCGCCTTTTTCCCAAAACCGATTCTCGAGTTATTCGAAAAATTGCGATTCGAAAAAAACCGGATAAACCAGTTTTATTTTAGATAGTTTCCAAACAGTGAAAATACTTACGTTGGCGTAAAGTCATGACCAAAAATTACAATACAATTTTAATAGTAAAGACCGCTTCTATTTAGAAAATCGCAAAGCAAAATAAGTTCAAAGGTTTTTTTAGATCAAAAATAAAAATCAGTGAAAAAATCACGTTTGCTTTTATTTTAACTTTTATGTTATACTTTATTGCATTTTTTCTGACTCTTTTCGGATTTGATTTGCCTACTGGCACTAGGGTTAAATTTCTGGTCCCAGCAACATAAAAAAACGTTTTTTCGAATAGCGGCGGCCCCGCGGCAGGCAATGGCAAACCTCCGAGTATACTTCTGCCATAAAAAAAGCTTCTATGGAGGTGAAATAAAAGTTTAGATCTCTCCATTTGTGTCACAACATCTAGAAACAGAGCACGAGTTGGAGGAGAAGCTCGGCCAAACACGAAGAAAACGTTTAAACGCCAAACATTTATTTATTGGAATCAAATGTGATCTACTGTTCGTCTCCAAATATCCTAGAATATAATTTGAAAACTATTCAGCGGTTTCCCTTAAACTGGAAAAAGCTCTGAAAACTTCGGAAAACTCCAAACTTTTATAGATCAAGGTCAAGATTTGTATAAAATGAAAAAACCGGTTTGTTCCATAAAAAATCTCGTTTATTCGATATTCGAAAAATCAAGATTCCAAAAGAACCGCTTATAGGATTTTTGAAAAAAACAGGTGGAACCCGGTTTGGAAAACCCGAGGCAATAACATTAATCACCACAGAAAATACCTTCTGAACTATCTAATGCACCCAATTTAAAGAAAGAAAAAAAACTAGGTAGTCATAAATACTGTTAATAGATATATATGATCCAAATGATTGAGGCGAACTTTTTCAAATAGTGTTCCCCACAGGGTTAACCTACAAAAAATTTCTAAAACTACATACATACAATTCGTAGAAGGAATGAACGATAAAGAGTAAGCGAAAGACCTATAAGTTAATGCCATTCGAATGAATTCGTATTCAAATTTGAGCAGCTATTTACTTAATTGATTTACACAATGGAGTGAACATAGAATAACCTATACCAATATAAAACATATTGAAGCTGAGGTACGTATACGTTTTGTTACGCCATTGGCTACCCAGTACGGCATAGCTCAACCAATTTTCTCAGAAAAAGTAATTTATTTTTGCTTATGTAGCAACTGACTTCAAATTGATGTAGCCTCCTTGAGATAAACCAAATGCTTACACTTTTGATGTCTTTGCAAATAATTTAATATTAATTGAAAAATCATCCAACTTTGGGGAACTAATTATTGCAGTATTTAATACTAAGTAATTTTAAATTGGTTGAAAAGACATCTGCAAATATATGAATCACATATTTTAAAATTTTTATTTATACAAAGTGTACCGTAAGCAGTGTTGGCAAAATGTTAATCTGATCGTAATCATCCGTACGATTAATGTTTACATTTTTTTTTTAATCGTTAATCGTCGCTTGTGATTTTAATCACTGATCATTAATCCAATTTAAATAAAATCTGATTAAGTAGTCTAGTTTGTCCGAATTTGAAACCAAACACGGATTATAGTTATTTTTTTGTGTTTCACGCTTGTCAAAAACGCATAACATAAAAAAAATAATAATTATTATTATTATTAGTAATACATAAACTGGGAATTTTTATAACACATCGCACATGTGCAGGGGGATATTAAAACCTAGTTTGCTTAGCGTCTGTTAAAATAGGTCTTAAAGAAAAGGCACACCAAATTGCTTAGATTCATGAGGAAAACCGACTTTGCCATACCCGGTTAACTGGGCTTGTGTTCACTGTAAAATTCCAGCATAAATTAATTAATCACCAAACCTACTTAAACAAATTAAGGGTTAATGATTACAAATTAATTTTTTTAATCGCGGTCACGATTAACTGTTTAATCAGATAAAATTAATCATGATTAACTGTAATCGGATTGAATTTAATCGAATTAACTAATTGATTAAAAAAGCAATCGATTAGTGCCAACACTGACCATTAGAAACAATTTGTGAAGTATAGAAAAAATGAAAGTCGGATTATTGGCTGCTTCCTAGTACATCGCCATGGGTAAAAAACTGGTTGAACACCAATGTTTATGTAAACTAGTTTCTTTCCGTACTGGGTGCATATGACGTACATAAGCTGCATAGGCACATTACCTTACATAAGACAAAATACATACATATATATCTAAGCGATTCCCTGTAGGCATCAAAATAGCTTCTAGTATTTGTGTTTAATACCACTAACAAAGAAACAAATAAAATAAATAAAAGCGTATTTTTGCTTACGCCATACATCGTCTACACCGAGATCATTTAGTAATATCCAAAATAAAATTTGACTAATGAAGCAAACGAAAATCGCTAGGGGAAATGTGTAATTTTATTGGACACACCCACTGAGCTAAATGCAAACAATGAAAGTACATAAACAAGCAACAGCTCCATGCAAATAAACACAAACTGTGCCAAAAATGCAAGTCTTTGCAAATATGTAAATATATATCAAGAATAAACAAAGTAACTTGAAAGCAAAATGAAGGAAAATATGTATCATAGTATCTAAACAAGCTTAAGAATAACAGAGCCAGATAGAAAAGTTAACATAACATAGGAAATCTAATAAGTAAACATGTTTTTACATAGAAAATATAAAATCTTAATTAGTTTTGATTATTAGTGAAAACAAATTTTTCTCGCAACGCAGCACAGTGGTACAGAAATGGTAAAAAGTGGCACACAAATTCGAAATTATATTTTTGCAGCTTTTGTTTATTTATTTTTACTAATGTTTTTCATTCAAAAAAAGAATTCAGTCTATAACAGAAACCACATA